TTAAACCTAGGTTTCTCGCTATTTTCAAAGCAGTGGACGTATTGGGGCTGTTTCTTCATACAGAAGAGGTGTGTACTTCGTTAGGTGATGTACTGAACTCATGAAACTTTTTAGCTGTTCGTAAGTTTTTGGGGGTTTATGTTTTCGATTGCCTCCGTTTTCTTCATTAGAAGTCTAGTTCCATCTGCATTGATGTTGAAACCCAAACATTCGACAAGTTGGCAGGCGAAATTACACTTTGGCCAAGATATGGCCAAGTTTTTTTGTATCTAATTCAGCTAGTAAAACTTTGAGCGCCACTCGGTGCTCCGATTTTTTTTGTTGTGATCATGATTTCGTTCAAGAATGCAAATGAGTTCTTGCAACTTGTAAGTGTGAGAACGATTGCCTGCTGGAAATTGGCTGGCACGTCTGAGAGCCCATGGAAGACTGTCTTAAACTAATATTTTTCTCTCGTTTTTCCCCCAAATTACGCTAAAATTTCGTTGTTCTCGTGTTTTCGGGTCCAGTGGTAGTTTTGCGTAGGCGTGTCGTAAATCCAGTGCAGAGGAGAACTTCTCTCCCTCTGTTTTTGGCTGAGCTACACTATCCAGTAGTAGTTTGATGTTTGGCATCTGGCATTTTTTCGTATATACTTACTGTTTTGTTTGGAATCCAGTGCCAACTTCATATATTGAACTTTTTGACTTTGATTACGATCGGGCTGATGATTTTTTTGTCTCGTTTTTCACGTGTTGCTGATCAAGCAATTTTTTGATCTCCTTTCTACCCTTTTTTGCAGGTAAATCGGTACACTACTAGCCTTTTGTCTTATCGCCTTAAAGTCCTTTGTGAATTCTATACGTACCAAGTGATTATTTGACCTTCCGTAGCGTCTACAGAGGCCTTTGTAAAAATTTTTGACTCAATTTGCCACTATAGGGCCCGGTTCCGGTTTTCATCTAGTGTTAGGTACCATATGGTACTTTGGTTTGTCTTGTTGGAGCCAAGTTCCTAAAAATGGAAATGTTTTCCCTCCATCTAATTGTGCTCGTGGTGCATCTACTACGATAAACGTGCTGAAGTTAGAGACCTTCCTCCTAGTTCAAGGGTTAGAATTAGTCTGTCTTGTGGTTCAATCTATACCTCATTTTAGCAAGCTAAATTGTGGGCCGCGTTTTTTTTTTGGAATGTGTCTCCAACCTACCAGAGTCACCTATTTCCACTATTGTATCTCGGTTCATTTCCAGTTTTGCCCAATGTCGGTTTAGGTCTTCTTTATTACAAACAATCGCTTTTTTGGCTTCTCATGTTTCCTTAATTGCAAGTATCGAATTGTCTGCCTGATGTAGTGCCTTCCATCCGTTTGCGGATATGAATTCCGCAAACGAAACCAGGTCCACTTTTTCTTCTTGCTATTCTTGTTGTGTTCGCCTTTCGGTCTCCTCTCTTTCGTCTACATAGTTGATATTTGTTGATTTGCGCAAATTTTGAAATAGAAGTTTTCTGCCGCATTTCGAACAGAATGTATCCCCAGCTGGGCATGAATGGAGGTGTCTTGTGGCGAATGGATTTCCGCACTTATAAGCTTGCTTGCTGTTTTAACGCTGATTTTGATCGTTATTTGTGTTTCGTTGTCCCCGTTGTCCTTAATTTCTATATTGGGTATTGGGAGCGTTGCCCCGTACCCTTCCTCTTCATTGTGGTTGTCGATTCCTTCGTTCATTGATGAAACCATTGATTGATGGTTGTAATCCCGGACTGTGATGTTTGTGGTCTGATTATTTTTTGAGCCTTTTTGCCTTCGAATGGCATGTTCGCCTGCCCCTTTTGGTATTCTTGTTTTGGCTAGTAATTCTTCTGAGATCTTTTTTTTTCTTTTACTTCTTCTGATATCTGGGCTGCTAAAATGTCCCGCACCACTCATCTTTTCTGTCCCAGCAATCGGCTTTTGAAACGAGTTCTACCAGTTCCGCATGAAACTGCGCCAAAAGTTCGCTTTCTCTTGGACAAGACATATTAGACTGTATGTATCGAATGCGGTTATCTTTTCCGCGACAAATGCGTCCTCCTGTTCGCGTACACTTCTTGTTGACACCGTTTGTATATCATTGTTTGGTTTTTGCTGCCTGAATTGTTTCTAGGCCTCTTTTCCTAGACACAAACATGTGTAACTCTTCGCTTTTCAATCTGTGTCGTCCCAGGGGAAGGTACTGCGCAGTACCTTTTTGCATATACTCTCTGTCTTTCATTTTTGCGTCCAAATCGTTTTTCTTGGTTTCGGTATTCTCTGTTTTTGTTTTTGTTTTTTGGTTTCGTCTTTTTTCACTTCCTCTAGCATTGGTGAAGGTTATCTGAATGGAGTTG